CCCACCCCCCCCCCCCTTGTGATGCCACCGGTTTTAAGCATTCTCCGTTCAATCCAAAACAGCAACAAAACATTTGGCTTTGGATACATTTTAACATTTAGAACATCGAGATCATCAATCAGGAAGGGGTGGGGACAGAGCAGAGCATTCTGGGTGACTCATGGAGGACGTATTATGGTTCTTTGTAGCCCAAAATCTCTAAATTCTTTGACGACATTTTCGGCACTGGCCACTTACTGTTGACAAAGTCCTGCTCCTCGGGGGTTACGACGCTGACAAGATGGCCTCCGAAGTCCCTGCAGTGGGTCTCCGCCTCTTCCCAGCTCTTCCTGTCATAGAAGTGCCGGTAGCAGAATCCCTGGAACGAGTCCCACTCGTCTGGACACTTCTCTACATCTATCCAGAGACAGGGACAGTCAGAGGGTAGGGGGGGGGAGGAGTCAAGGAAATGGTATATGGAGTATAAACAGGTATATAAAGGAGGTTAACACAATAGGGAGGACCCAATGCATGGTGGGAAGGACAGCCCATGGTGCACATAGCCGCCAGCCACCTTCCCGCTTCCAATCCCCCAAAACAGTGCCGGAAGGCGGCAATTTGCAGATCAAAACTTCATGGAATTCCCGGAATATGAGCGACATTTTACATTGTCAACTTCACCTTTTTTGGATTTCCATACAAGATCAGAACCGACAAAGGGGACCCCTGCTGTAAATCAGTAACACAAATACATAAGGGGGTCTATTTATAAACAATTTGCAGAGCCATTCGCCCTGCAAATTTCTGTGAAAGCTCGTCATGTGCGAATAGACTCAAACATTAATTTTCTTAGTATATTTTCAGGTAAAATGTAATGTAATGTAATACTGCAATATGGCCACTAGATTGAGATGAGGAGCACAGGAAATAAGTATTCATGGCCACTAGATGGAGCTGAGGAGCATAGGAAATAAGTTTATGGCCACTAGGTGGAGCTGAGGAGCATTAGAGATAAATACTTACATTCCCTGTGCTCCTCAGCTCCATCTAGTGGCCATAAACTTATTTCCTATGCTCCTCAGCTCCATCTAGTGGCCATGAATACTTATTTCCTGTGCTCCTCAGCTCCATCTAGTGGCCATAAATACATACTCCCTATGCTCCTCAGCTCCATCTAGTGGCCATAAATACTTATTTCCTGTGCTCCTCAGCTCCATCTAGTGGCCATAAATACATACTCCCTATGCTCCTCAGCTCCATCTAGTGGCCATAAATACTTATTTCCTGTGCTCCTCAGCTCCATCTAGTGGCCAGAAATACTTATTTCCTGTGCTCCTCAGCTCCATCTAGTGGCCATAAATACTTATTTCCTGTGCTCCTCAGCTCAATCTAGTGGCCAGAAATACTTATTTCCTGTGCTCCTCAGCTCCATCTAGTGGCCATAAATACCCACTCCCTATGCTCCTCAGCTCCACCTAGTGGCCATAAATACTTATTTCCTGTGCTCTTCATCTCAATCTAGTGGCCAGAAATACTTATTTCCTGTGCTCTTCAGCTCCACCTAGTGGACATTAATACTTATTTCCTGTGCTCCTCCCCTCCATCTAGTGGCCATTCATATATATTTCCTGTGCTCCTCATCTCCCTATAGTGGCCATTAATACTTATTCCCTGTACTTCTCAGCTCCATCCAGTGGCCATAATGTGGTATTACATTACATTTTACCTGAAAATCTGTGTAAATTTGCCTCCATTTACACAGATTGAACATTCAGAAGGGACCACAGGGGAAATGGCTCTATGAATTGTTTATAAATAGACCCCTTAGGGTCCCAACAAAACTTGGCTAACATAGCTATAGACAGAGCTGTGTTCTATAGGCATGTGCTTGCGTCAGGGCTGAGGGTTCTTCAGATAAGTACCAAGGCAGGGGTGCGGTGATGTTTTCAGGAAGCTATGTATAGCACACTGCTAGCCCCTCCCACCAGCCATGATATTTCATTAATGCATACAAAACCACAGATACCCAGTGCTGACATCTCTGGGGCTAAATTGAGGTATGTAATAAAAAGAGGATTGATTTTTATAAGCCTGTTGATTAAGGAAGTGGAGTGACCAGGGAAGGCAAATATAAGATTAAACTGCAGCTTTAAAAACTACAGGGGTGTTGTAAGACCCCATTGTGGTCCCTTTAATCAATGGAGGAAGCAGAGTGGCTAGTGGAGGAAATGGAGTGACCAGGGAAGGCAAATATAAGATTAAACTGCAGCTTTAATAAGCACAGGGGTGTTGTAAGACCCCATTACAGCCCTTTTAATAAATGGAGGAAGGCGAGTGACCAGGGAAGGCAAATATAAGAAGAATAATCTGCAGCATTAATAACTACAGGGGTGTTGTAAGACCCCATTGAAGTCCCTTTCATCAATGGAGGAAGTGGGGTGACCAGGGAAGGCAAATATGAGATTAAACTGCAGCTTTAATAACTACGGGGGTGTTGTAAGACCCCATTGCAGCCCCTTGAATCAATATCACCATGTGCTGTCCTACCTTGTCACAGCGTGTGAATGGTTTGTTATCACATACCAGCAGGTAACATGAGTTGATCACATAACTAGAGTGTCCTTTGTGACTCACTTATTTCACAGGCTTTTCCAAAATAGCCCGGCAAACACAAACAGTGGAAGTCGTCATCGTCCTCCTCAATGCAGGTCCCTCCGTTCCCACAGGGGTTGGGGTAGCAGACATCTACAACACAAGGTACAAAGGGAAGCTGCAGGTGTGCCCAAAAGTCAGGGGTACAGTACATTGAGCCTCAGATATCTTCAATAAGAACTATATCGGTTCAGCGTCCAATCAGGTGTCAGCTTTATCTCCGATGGTTAGTTGCCAGTGCAGGTTTGAATGTAATTCATACAGGTCAGGAACAATTTATGGAAATGTTTTACCTGGTGCCTATTGTTTTAGCACAGGGGAAGGCAACCTCGGCACTCCAGCTGTTGTGGAACCACAAGCAGGGCCGGATTTACACTCTCTGCTGCCCCAAATGCCAGGTTCCTCAATGCGCCCCCCCCTACTCGCCAAACCCCCCCCCCATGGAGAATGGCGGACCTGCAGGCTGCATACAA